GTACTTTTATTTAATCCAAACTGTGTTCATATTTAATTTTAAAGGGCTTTTAAACCCTACTAGAGATATTCAGCCAAGAACTACAACTAACTAACAAAAAACACTTTTTCTGATGGACTGATATGACAAACACTGTTAGCCATACATTTGTACATTCTCTAACACGCATATTTTGGTTACACATTTCATTTAAAAGCCTCTGGTGTGTAAAAATAGTAAATACCATTATGTCCTCCTTTTTTTTTTAAAATAATAAAAGTTATAGGGGCATTAAATAGTTAACAAAGAAATCATTTTGAACAAAATTCATTCTAATGCTCATTATATTAGCATTAGCCACGCTTATGCTAACGATTAACTATGTATACGCTAACGGCGATGTTTATTTCAATCCGAAATTCTAATTTAAATATGGAATAATATTCCGAGGTGTTTCGTTAGTTTAATGCGTTTCCTCCTCTTGAGGTCGCCACTGCTTTTAAGAAGAGGTTGCCAGGTTTTCACAACAAAACCCGCCTAATCACGTTTCGAGGGGGTCCCCCAGGGTCAACAATACTACAGCGAGAATAAAAGTTACGCCTTCTTTCTTTGCGTGAACATTTGGGCGGCGTTATGCAAATCTTCCCACATAGTGATGTAGACATGTGGGGGCGTGTTAGAATGAGCCGTTTTAGGTAGACGTGGTTAACTCTTAACTTTTATAAAGAATATCTCTTTGGATTTGAGACTTTAGTCTTTGCAACTTTACAGATCTTCTTTATGCACCAAGAGCTTGTAACACTCCAAAGAGAAAGGAAAACTTGAAATCGCATCATATGACCCCTTTAAGAAAACCTGGTACCGTAACGTTTTCATTTTTTTAGTACCGACTTGGTACCGAAATACTGGGTCTTTTGACAACACTAGATTCAAATATGATAATCTTGTACCATATTGATATAAAAATACAAAGAGTAAGAAAATATATTCCATTTGTTGCAACTGCAGGGGTTTGTGAGTTTAATGAAAAGCTAATGATTTATTAAATGATAAAAAATTATAAATGTCATTTTAAAATAACATCAATCAAAATAAAATGCATAGTAATTTTTTTTTACATATTTTATTTGTTTACCTGCATTTCATGTGACCATTAATCAACAGTCAGAGAACCTTAAACATGCAAGTGTGATAATTAATTATTAAAATATTTATTTTAAAATCTCAGGGGTTCTACAAGTAAATATATTAGGTGAAAGAGGTTCAGATGACCAAAAAAAAAACGTTTGGGAATGCATGCATTACATGTAAATAAGAAATAACGTGAATTTGTGCATTTTAATGTGTTTGAAAGACAAAAGCTTCCTTAATGTCATTATAGTAATACATGGATAAATTACCTACTGAGTGATAATTCAAATAAAAATGAATGTGTTCATCAGTAGTTGATGCAAATGCAGTGTTGAAACAGTGGTCAAGTGATGTGTGGCCACCTGACTAATGACTGATCTTTGTGTGAACGTCCGGCTATTTTAGAAAAGAAAAATTAAAAGATGAAAAAAAGGAATTAGGGAGAATCAATACATTGAGTAATTTATTGCTATTGGGTGAATAATATATAGCCTAATCATGTAATCAACAAAAATAGTAACTGTAATCTTATTATGATTATTTAAAAATTTTATTTAATCTAATTACAAATCATTTTTGGAATCTGATTACATAATCCAGATCACATGTAATCGTTTACTACCCAGCTCTGTTTGCTGTGTACCATGGTTGTTATCATGGTATGCGTTAAAGTACCATGAATTCACAGCGAAAGACACAAAAGCTGTCACTGGGGAGGTACCTTTTCAAAAGCTACACTTTTGTTACTTTTAGGTACTAATATGTGCCCTTTAGGTATAAAAGTTGTACCCTTTGAAAAGGTACCGCTTCAGTGACAGCCTTTTTTTTCTTCTTTTTTTTCTGAGAGTGTATCAAAGTAGTTGTATTAAGATACGGGCATAAGATATGGACATGCTGGGTAATTTTGTAATATAATGTTTTTCTCTAATAGGTACCGGTCTGGGTCTAGGAATTGTGTTCTCTGTTGTTTTCTTCAAGCGTAAGTATATTATATTATACCTTGTGTAAACCAGATTTATTAGAATGAGTCTTCATTCATTCTAATGTGAGAATTTGTTTGTGCAGGCCGGACGTGGCCCATTGTGTTTGGTGCAGGACTGGGTCTTGGCATGGCTTATTCCAACTGCCAGAATGACTTGAGGTCACGTTATGTACTGCACAGTAAAGTTGCTAAGGTTTGTGTTTTGATTATGGAGGTCACGTGTTGTCTTGATCAAATCTCACCAAGCCGTTCAAGTCTGTGTGGCCGAAATATCTGTTTGCATTTTATACATTTATTAAAACATGCATAGAATTATCCTAAATGTGAATGGAGGAAAATATTTCTAGAATTTTTTTTTTTTATGAATAATTTATAAAATGTATATACAAGTTTTTGTTAATAGTTTGAATGAGCTTTTTATATTTTCTGTTTTAAAAAGTTTTCATATTTTTAGTAATCGTCTTCATTTTAGTTTGAATAAATGTGTACAGCTCTGTCTGGATGATTACAATTAGTACATCTGTCAGTTATTCTGAAGTCATAAAAGCTTCACGTGTAATGGAAAAATTAAAAAAATATATATTATTAATAATACATTGTATATATTTTATGTATGTCTATATAGCTATTACATTTGAGTTCATTTAGTACTTCAGTTTTGAACAAAAATGAGAAGCCTTTGCATCAAGCTGAAATAAAATAAAAAACACTATTTTATTTCAGATAATCTTTATTTTATTTCAAGTAATATTTAGTTTTTTTTTTTAGTTAATAATGATATGGTTTTAGTTAATAATGCTAACCCTAATAAAAATGTGCTTTTGCCCAACTATATATTCAATTATATTCAGTTATTGCAATGTTTGTTAAATTGTGACATTCTTTTGCTTTTCCATATGAATATAATTTCATAGGTGATCATGTAGCCTATTCAGATCATATCAAAATATTGTAATGCATCAAGATTTTTTTTGTGCGTGTTGTATGTATTCTTTCACATCAGTTTGTACTTTTTCTATAAACTGATTTATTTGCGACTTTTAACATAAGATAAGCATGGAAACTCTGACTGAAGACATTTGAAGATCAGTTGAAGTGTTTCAAATCCTGACCTGTTTTCTCTCGTCTCTTTCAGGAGCAGTAGAGTCACGTCAGTTATGTCATCTGCCTTGCTTTTCATATTCAAAGCCTGACACAATCAGACTGGTTTTTCAGACTGGTTGACTTTCTTTCTCCATAACGTCCATGTTGTACAGGACAGTCTGTGTGTATTTAATAAAATATTAAAAAAGGAGATTAGTTTGCTAAGGATGATTTGAATGTGATTTTTTTTTTTAATTTATAAAAAATGGCCCTACAGTAACATGCGTTCCAAAAATCATAGCCTTCTATTAGAACCCCAGTGACAGCATCCCACGCTGTCGTCTAGCTTTTGACCAAGGCCAAGATGATATTTGGCAACCGTGCTAAACTAGTGCACTTTGCTTAAATCAAAACATTTGCTCAAACCTGCAGTGGGTCCAGAGCAGTGTTGGCATGGTGACAGTTCTTCAGTAGTGAAGTACAAGCATTCCTTTTTTTTTTTTTTTTTCTGCCGTGCTTATTTCATTATTGTAATGTTGCTTTTTACATAAAGGTAAAAGTACATATCGAAATAAGTTCTCATGCATGACCTTGTTCAGAAGTAAGGCTTCAGGGAATTGTTGGCTGTAATGATTATAAAACAAGAAATATTAAATGTATCATATTTTGCTTTGGTCAGAGGTATATACATGTACAACAGTTACGAAAGATCTTTTCAGCTTTTTTCATCTTGGAATAAACTTTAATTTCAAAACCCATTTTTTTTCTCGTTTATAGTTCTCAGATGTTATCACTATAATTGCACAATCAAAAAACAAAAAAATTAATTAAATAATGGACATGTGTACAATGACTCACATTTCCACATCTAAAATTACAAAACAAAAACAAATGACAGAAATGCATTTAAAAGGGAAGTCTATTGTGCAATTGCAACTGTATTGAAAACGTTGTTGTAGTCTGTGTTTTGACAATCAACCTAAAAAAATATATATATTCGTAGAGGTACCAAATATCACAGTCAAGATGAAGCACAGAAGCAAAAGTGTTCACACACACACAAAATGTCTTGTAAAATTACATTTTATTCATTTGGTAGCACTAGCAATCTTATATAAAAAAAAATTCCCATATCTCACATTTACATAAGCCTTTTGTTCGATGTTAATTGCTTGCCTTAATTAACCCTGAATAATGATTGGCTGTGAATGTGCATAAAGTCGCATTAAGAGCGCGATGCTCAGACACGCTTTATGCCCAGCGGCAGAGTGCGGATCCCACAGGCACCCTGAAGTGGACGATACAGGGATTAGAAGGGCGCAGGGAACCGCAAAGACGCCAACACAGTTACCTCTAGTGCACTCGTCTGCTCCCTTTTACTCAATTACAGCCACAATTACTGAATAAAGAACATTGAGCTCATAAAAATGCATAGAAAGCAAACAGAACTCTACCTTAACGCCAAGAACTGGACCGAGATAAGTTTGTTTTTTAATTCACTCATCTAAAAATATCGATACGGTATCTTGCTCTTGTAACACTCCTTCTCTTTCTCTCACACGCTCTCGTACCGAAGCCCACCTCTCAGTTGCCCTCCCCCAAAGAGTGTCATCATGACACGTAGCTTTGAAATACTCTTGACAGGCACAGAATTGCTCATACTGGTGCTAAGCATTGAAGAAGCCAGACTATTGACAAGGAAATGTGTCATTTTATTGCTTTGCTCATCTCACGTTAACAAATGGAGGGATGGCAGCTGGACATCCTTGCACTGGTGTGACTGAGGCACAGAGAGGGAGTGAAATCACCAACCTTGCCAGGGGAAAGATGGAAAGGATTACTATAAATGGGACATCTTGATCTTTTTTGAGGTGGTCTGCATCAGATTTCAGTGAGGTGACCCGCAGATCAACTGTTTCACATTCAGCATCACTCTCTCAATGCACTTGAAAAACGCTGGATGTGTGCTCGCTTCATCGAGACCACAGGAAGCGCACACAGTCCTATTCAACTCTCCGATGATGAGTGGCTCACCTATCCCTCGAGTAGAGGCAGCATCAGGTGTGAATGCCTGGAATGTTCACAGGAGCTTCAATGACAGCGGTATTATCGGTGATGGTTGGAGCATTAGTGGCAGCGGTCCCTGGCTTCTCGCAGTCATGCTGTCCCTTATAATTCTGGTGACAGCTTGTGGGAACATTTTGTTGATTGCCTTGGTGTTTGCACATCGGTCGCTGCGCTGCACCTCCAATTGCTTCCTAGTGTCCCTCTTCCTGTCAGACTTGATGGTGGCTTTGGTCGTGATGCCCCCTGCTATGCTCAATGTGCTGTGTGGGACCTGGGTGCTGGCGCCTGGATTCTGCCCCGTCTGGCTTTGCTTCGACGTGATGTGCTGTAGTGCCTCCATTCTCAACTTGTGTGTCATCAGTCTGGACCGCTACCTCTTCATCATCTCTCCGCTGCGATACAAACAACACATGACCCCGCCTCGTGCCTTGCTTCTGGTGGGTGGGGCTTGGGGGTTGGCAGCCCTCACTTCCTTTCTGCCAATCAAGATGGACTGGCACAGCCTGGGTCGCATGCAAGACCTTTCCGAGAATGATCTCGCCAACACCACAGTCTCGCAATTGAGTTTCTTCTACCCCTCTTCGTACTTCCAGCTTACCACGTCAGGGACGCCGTCCATGCAGTGCCGCCTGCGGGTGACTCTCCCCTTTGCCCTCGTTGCGACCTTTCTCACCTTCTTCTTGCCTTCTACAGCCATTTGTTTTACCTACTGCCGGATCCTGTTGGCGGCCAGAAGACAGGCACGACAGGTGGAGGCTCTTACTCATCCTCCTTACCCACCTCCTTCTCCCAGTCATGCCATCCAGGATGGAGATGACTACAGCCATCAGGAGCCACCCGTGTTGCGGCAAGCTCTGGTGAGAATTTTTGAGTCAGAGAAAACCGTGGGATAGAAATTCAATTCTTCAAGTAGCAAGTCTTAGAATAGAGTTATTAGATGCAATTTCTGGTGAATGTATTGCTTCATGTATGTGTGTGAGAGAGAGTGAATTCTTCTTAAAACTTGCAGAGAACTCTCGACAAACTAAGCCACTTGGAGTGCATGCATTCTCAAACTGTTTTGGCCTATTGTTCATTCACGTACTCACTGCTTATGCAAGTGAAGGCTGTGTGATCACCGACACAATGCAGCATGTTGAGAATGTGTAGAGAATTCCCAGCACCTTAACAAACACAACAAGAAAGCTGAAATATGTAGCAGAAAAGGAAAACTCAATTTTAAGGACTGGAACAGAAAGTAATGAGAGACAAGATGAGGGTGTCGGAGTGCCAATAAGGCATTTGAAGATGAGGAAGGGCGAAATGGGAGGGTAGAACTATTCAGACCTTGTGAGGCACTCACTTTCAAGAGCTTTCATTTGAGAGAGGGAAAGACATAAATAATTACCCAAGGCCAAAGTAACATTACTACCCATCTCTCAGCAGGTGCATCACTGTGAAATCTCTAAGAATACATTATTTTCTCTCTCTTCCTGTCTCTTTGTCTCAGTTGTCGGTGAACAGTGAGCGCAGACTGGCACACAGGCAAAGAAAGAGAGCTCTGAAAGCCAGTCTTACCCTGGGAGTGCTCCTGGGTCTCTTCTTCAGTGCCTGGCTTCCCTTTTTTATCACCAACATGGCACAGGTCAGTCCACAAAACAAAGTTAAGAAGCATCCTCATTCACGTTGACTGCTAAACTCACTCACATATTGAACCTTACCTTGACCTTAACAAGCATGTAACAAAAAAAGGGGATGGGTGGTAAATTAATTGCAATATGACAAAGTGACGAAGAGAAAGATTCCTATTTAATTTGCGCAATTATTCCTTATCCTGCTCTCGAGCTTTCAAGGATCCCGTTCCCCATCTGTGTCCCTCACTTTGCTCAGATTTCGAGCTTCTGGGCAAGCCTGTCTCTAGTCCTCCTTCACACACAATATGGTGTGTGAATAGCACTCCATCTCTATCTCCTACTCTCCCCTTCTTCATCCGTGGCATCCTGACATCCTCTTCCGATGAACTAGACATCTTTGACCTTTTCCACCTCTTTGGTTTTGAGTCTCAGCTACATCGTGTATTGATTTTGTGATCTAAGACCTTTTCTTCTGTACATTCAGGCGGTGTGTGAGTGTGTACCACCTTCCTTCTTCGATGCCATCACCTGGCTGGGCTACTGTAACAGCACCATGAACCCAATTATATACCCAATGTTCATGAGGGATTTCAAGAGGGCTTTGGCACGGCTTCTACCCTGCTGTTCTTCATCTCAAGCCCCTCGTAGGCCATCGCTGCCGCTTTCCCTTTCTCTACGCAACTCAGGGGAGCCACAACTACCCACTGAACCCCCCTCCCTTGTGTCTGAACCGCCACAACTACCGGCGACGGCAACAGATGCTGTTAACCTTCTCGATGCGGAACATGCTGGGATTGACCTGCCTCTGCTGCTGCCCAACCAGGTCGATACATTAGACGATTGATACGCCAACTGAGACAACAAAAGAAGTGCAATATACTGTGGACAGCAAGATATGTGACTTATAACTATAGGTTTATGAATTTTTTTTTAAAACATACAATGCTAAAAAAAAAAAAAAAATCAATGGGATAAGTGTTAATGGGATAGTCATGCCTAAACTGGAAGGCTGCATCGCTCCTCAAGGCAGATCATAGAGATTGTACATTTTGAACAGACTCAACACGCATCCCGGTTCATTCATTACCATAACAACCAAAACAACAGATGGATAAAGCAGACGAGAGTGAAAGAAATCTCACTAATACTTCACACAATGTCAAGTGGGTTGTCTGTGGAACTATAATTCACATCTTAATTAAACAGCAAACCACTTCTAATGAAGGGGGAAAATGGTATACACGAAATACTGACAGTTTTCACATAGCAGTTTATGACAAATTATATTGAGCAGTGCTTAAAAAATCATGAGATGATAGCCACAAATAACTTAAAAAATATTATTAGACAATATCAGAATGACAAAAAGACAAGGTTCCAGTTGATCCTAGCTTATATTGCTAACTTACATTCTGGGTGGTGTCTAGATGGTAACCCTTCTTCTGCCAAAAGTCTAGTGAGATTCACATGTGACATTCAAACACTGTGTTTATTTGAGTTCCACAGCGACCCTACGCCCAACCCTCAATCCTGGTAGCAGCAAATGCGACTCTCAGGAGAGTTTCTTGGAACAAGGTATACCATCTAGACCCGACCCACATTTTTTGAGTTGTGAATTATGGAAATGTCACGATTTCATTGCTCATGGGCTCAGAACCAGCAGGTTTGCCAATGACTAACTGTTCATGTGCTTCAGTGTGCGACTGGTAGGTTGTGTTTGTGCATTCAGTAGTCCAGTTCATGTCATCCCAGTCCCAGGACGTGTGCTCACAGTATGTGTCACTTTAATCTTCTCTGTCTATTTTGCCTTCATCTTGAGATGGTTCAACATGATCCTTGACTCCGAGAGCACATGGTGAATGCACGTTCCCTTGACAGGGTTCAGGGATGCCATCACATTCACTGATGGAGTCCAATAAATCAGATATATCAGGGATATCCCAGCCATTCTCAGAGTCCTTCCTCTCACACCGTTCCTTGTCTCCAGTCTGTTTCTTGAATTCATTTACATTTGTCTCTGTGGCGTCTGAGGTATCATTGTTTGAAATGTCCATGGATGGTTCCCCCATGACTCTGCTCTGACCAGCTGGTTCTGGAGTGCCTGTTTTTTCCTGAGATAAATGTACCAGCTGTAGTTTGCCACTCAGGGCTCCAGCTTCTTCCCTGGTAGGAACCCCTACTGCTACTAGGATGGTGTCCATCTGACGCATGTAGTCCAGGTGTCCTTTTACCTAAGAGGTGGACAGAACATACCCAGTATTCATAAAGCAAGTGGAAAAGACTTTACATTCCCTAACAATTTTACAGTGCTTGCAGTGCATTATTATATTGATATCCTCATTCTAATTTTAGTGGTGCTTGCAAACTTTTCAGAAAAATCAAGCTTTGGTGTATAACTCAGGCATGCATGATACCTCAAACTACGCAATGTATGTAAGTACTTTTTTTAAGCTATCAAATTTAAATTTTTTCATGCCCTGGTGGACGATAAAAGCAGTGAAAAACTCCCACTGACTTATATTATAAATAGAGAGGCCTGAACCAACATACAGAGAATCGGCTGGAATCCTTTGATTTAGGCCAGTAAGTAACCACCTAGCAACCATCCAGAATACCCTAGCAACAGACTAAAGGACACCATAACAATGTTTTGCACAGGCAAGGACCAGTGTAAGGGTAGATGCCATATTTAATTTTTCACAAAAATATAGAATATACACATTCTTGTCAAGGGGTTGTAATGTTTTTAACTTGGCTGACTGATTTAATTTATTTTCACTATAGCTGCTTTGACACTGCAACATCACATTATGACTAACTTTAGCTAAGTTTTTTTATGAACAGCGAGATTAAAACGGCTCTGACAAACCTAAAACTATAACACTATTCTCTTACAAGCACTGGTATTTATTTCAGGAAATGCACATTTAGTTGCTCATTAACATTTCTTCACATGCCAAACGAAGGTGCAATTCTTCACATGCCTCACATTGCAGTCGCATAATAATTATGTATTACATGAAAATAATTTTACTGCTTTCACGAAAAAAGCATGACATGACAAAAGATACAAAGCATTTCTATATTTGTTCTGGATTAAGGCAGGTGTGATGTAACCTGTATTCTGTGTCTATGAGTTAAGGAAGATCTCAGATCCAGTCCTTTGTTTACAATATGTCACATGGATGGCTGGCATGATGACCTCTGTTGAGATGCACAGACTATCTGTTGATGGATCATTTTAAGTTCAAGTGACTTGATTTTTTTACATATGTGCGTTGCATAAAATAACACTCTTTTTAGGTAATTTTCCCATTTTTTTATGACGTAACAGCATTGGATTTAAGGTCTCCACTTGAATACCAATGAGCGAACTTCCTGCAACAGTAATTACAGTAATTGTAGTCTTTCATGGGTGACAATATAACAATGCCCTTTCTATTCATGGCAGGGGGTGTTTTTTTTATGTCCAAAAAAGTAACTTCAGATGACTTCAAATCTTAGCCAACTGGAAGGAAATGAAACTTCGACTCTGCGATAATATAATGTCAAGCCATTGTGCGGAATTGTTACTTTTGCAGCCAGTAAACTGAATCTGAATCGAAATGCATCTCACAGACACCAAGAATATTTAAAAAAGAACATCTACCGAGAACATCAGGGACTTAATGCTTTCATTTCAAGCTCATTTGCTTACCACTGATGACAGATCAACATTGATTATTTTGCGGTCTTGCGAACTGATTGGCTGCAGCCCAGCAACAGACAGTTGGACAGATGAACTTCTGTAGAGGAATCCAAGAAGCCAATCCCCTCTAAACCAATAAAAACAAAAAGAAACATATTTACGTTTTAGTTATATTTAGTTTAATGCAATAACTGGGACATTCAATTAAAATTAACAATAGTTATTACAAATTATTAAATGTAGTAAACAAAATCATAATCTCCAGATTTGTTTGCAGTTAACATGTTGTGACTTCCGGTTACTTTTTAATAAATAACTAAATTAATAAATGGTCAATTCTAATTCTTCATCTGGTGGCCTAAAATGTAATTCTCTAAATGTGTAATTTAAATTTGACTGAAGACTGGAGTAATGATGCTGAAAATTCAGCTTTGCATCACAGGGATAAATTACAATTTAAAATATATTCAAATAGAAAATACTTTTTTTTTTTTTTTATGTCATATCTGGTTTTCCTGAGCATGAAAGACTTCTTCCAAAAACATTTTAAGAAATCTTACCGGACTCAAAAGTTAGAAAAGTAGTGTATAACAGAAAAAAGAAAGTGAGTTTCAGCAAATTTGAATACTTATGGTAAGGGATTTGAATATACCCCTGACCCTCAGTAGGAGTAATATTAATAGTGTCTTACTTGCAATATCCATTAACAATCTTCCCAGCCACTACCCTGGACAGTCGCTGCCATGCTTTCTCCGATCCGTCCACAGGGGCCCCCAGCAACACCACATCCTCCACCACACCTTCACTACCTGCCCGATAATAAGAGACAAAAGTCCTTCAATGGGCTCTGTGCGATCAGATTCTCATTTGCAGCCTCACACCTCTCAGACTCCATCTTTCATTACGATGATAAAGAGAACACGACTCAATCTGGCTTGCAGGAAATTTGGCCATGCCCAGCTCTCTCATGTGGACACTTCTTGAGACACAAGGTCTTAAAGACAAAAGGATGTTCCCTCGTTATCAGCGACTCATTAAAAATGAATAAAAAGTGTACCTTGATCATTAGCGAGCTCTTCTAGGCAGAAGTAGATGACACGAGCTCCAAGGCTAAAGCCAATTAGATTGACAGGCCGCTTTCCCTGCAGAAAGAAAGAAGATAATTATACTCACATTTGAAAGGAATATTCTGGGTTAATATGATATAGATGATTAACTCTATACAGCCAACTGTACCATGTTTAATATGTAATAAGGCCTTTAAATAAACAATATGATCATGCTGAAAAACCTGTTGTACACAATAAACTACACTCCTATCTAATTGATAGTTTATACTTTTTAGCAAATAAAAGGCATAGAACTGTAAAAATGTCTGCCTTCAGGTTGTGGTTCATGTGTTTATTTTGTGTGTGTGAAAATTTTACTGATTTTTAAAAAGAAAATGTAAGTAAGCATTATATTGTTATTAATATTTCAAGATGACCATTTACTGGACTGAAGCAGCTTAGGTTTACTTATCCATTCTTCATTTTTAAAAAAAATCATGTTAAAATGTATCAGGCTTTTGAGGAACATTTATTTGTCCATTTCTCAATTATCATTGTATTGCGTTGCATTATATGTTTTGAGACTACATTGCTTTGATAATAAAACATTTCAATATCTTACCAATACATCTTATTGAAAGATACAGAGTGACAATTGATATTCATATGCATTTTATGTAACTAGTCTGTTTTACCGTAATATAAATCAAATGTATTTATCAGGATTTCATCTGACCCTTTGGCCATATAAATATCAGCAACTGATTCAAATTGCATATTCTTGCTCAGTTTGGGCCTCTGAATAAAACCAAGGTGTTTTTTCTCCTCAAGTATGAGCCACAGATCCTTCGAGCTTGTATGTGACCCCTAACATTTTCCGAATTAGTCATTTCAAGCCGCATTGAACTGAAATCGTCAAAGACTAAGGAGAATCTTAGGAAGTTGATGTCTTGCATGACTCTGACCTGCCGTCGGCTCCGGAGCACCTGGGCGAGGTGTTTTCCCACCTCTGCTGATCGGCTCAGGCACACTCCCCAGGGGTTGTCGATCACACTGGCCACAGCCAGCAGAGACGCAGGCCATGTCAGAGCCGTTACTATGCCTGAACACAGACAACAGAGTGAGCAATGCAGTTATACTGGACACCTTAAAGAAATGCGTGACAATTAAAATCTTCTTTCATGATTTTATACCCTTTTGGAAAGTGTCTTAATTGTAAATGCACTAATTAAATGCACTTTATTAGTGCATTTAATTAGTGCATTTACAATTAAGGCACTTTCCAAAAGGGTATAAAATAGGGTCGGAAAAATTAAGTAATATGTTGTTCAGGAGGACAAATGGTAACACTTTAGAATAGGGAACACTTATTCACTATTAACTATGACTTTTCCCTCAATAAATTCCTAATTTGCTGCTTATTAATAGTCAGTAAGGTAGTTGTTAAGTTTAGGTATTAGGTAGGATTACGGATATAGAATAAGGCATTAATATGTGCTTAATTAGTATTAATAAATTGCTAATATTCTAGTAATATGCATGCTAATAAGCAACTAGTTAAGAGACCCTAAAATAAAGTGTTACCGGACAAACAAAATACTATATGAGCTGTTTTACTTTCTATTGTAATCCTGTTATCTAATACAGTTTAAACTTTTCCATAAATAGCGAACATGAAAAAAGCTCAATATTAAATATGCAAATGTATTTATACACACACACACATATATACAGTATATACTGTATATAGATACAGTTAATAGATAGATAGATAGATAGATACAGTTAATAGATAGATAGATACAGTTAATAGATAGATAGATAGATAGATAGATACAGTTAATAGATATATAGATAGATAGATAGATAGACAAAGGACTGGATCTGAGATCTTCCTTATCTCATAGATAGATAGATAGGATACCCAGGATGGTTGCTAGGGTGTTGCTATGCGGTTGCTAGGGTACCCGGGGCGGTTGCTAGGTTGGTTTGGATAGTTGCTAGTGTTGCTATGAAGATAGATAGATAGATAGATAGATAGATAGATATATAGATAGATAGATAGATAGATAGATAGACTGTACATACTACCCTTCAAAAGTTTGGGTCAGTACGATTTTTGAAAATAGACTCTTATGCTCACCGAGGCAGCATTTATTTAATCAAAAATACAGTAAAACAGTAATATTGTGAAATATTACTACAATTTAAATAACAGTTCTCTAATTTAATATATTTTAAAATATAATTTATTCCGGTAATCAAAGCTGAATTTTCAGCATCATTACTCCAGTCTTCAGTGTCACATGATCCTTCAGAAATCATTCTAATATGCTGATTTGACACATTATTTTAGGATGATATAAAGAATTTTGATATATAATTCCAAATAATTTTTTTTAGCATTTATTTGAATGTATTTAAATTTATTTGAAATGTAAATCTTTTATTATGTTCTGGGTTCTAAACATTTTACTTTAAAAAACTGGACACATTTGCTTTATTTATTTTGTGATTCTGTTCAAATAGACTGTGAGCTAGAGAAAAGACTGATCTGCGCTTCTGAAGGTGCGTGGGAGGGAATGCTGCCGCTGATTAAAACTGCAACGGCCACTCAGCAAAACATTAAAAATTCCAGCACTGGATCATCATTCATTATAACACACATGAATAAATAAAACAAACTCCAGCTCAACAATAAGACACTTATTCTGTATTCGACACATCCCTGCTGAGACGACTGTCAAAAATGGCCCAATTTAGACTAGATTTAAGATCAAGTGAATAACTATGACTGCACAGTTCAACACTTACATAAGATAAAGCACAAGAGACTTTCTATTTTCCTCAAACCAGTAGTTCTATCTTTTTATAGCTTAACAGCATTAGCACAGTAAAGCAGACATACCTGAGAGCACTGTGTATTTGAGGGCCTCCTGAGCCACAACACTAACAAGCCCATCCCATAATGAGTCCAGAATAGAGCCCAGGTCCAATAAATAACGCGACTCCCATTTCAGACAGTACTGCTCGCCACACGCTCCGAGACTGGACCAGGGAGCCTGAAATGAACCTGTGATGGGCAAGTCCATCTGAACCTTAGTGTCAACAATATTTCATGGGTACTTTGGGCTTATTACAGTAAAAGAATAATACACCCTAAAAATAAAATTTGCTCAATATGTACTCACCCTCAGGCCATCCAAAATGAAGATGAGTTTGTTTCTTCATCAGAAAAACAGATTTGGAGGAATTTAGCATTACATCACCTGCTCACAGGAACAGTCTTGATGGATTTGTTTCTTACAAACATGCAGCTTTTCACTTCACAAGACATTAACTGATGGACTGGAGTGGTGTGGATTACTTGTGGATTATTGTGATGTTTTTATCAGCTGTTTGGACTCTCATTCTGACGGCACCCATTCACTGCAGAGGATCCATTGGTGAGCAACTGATGTAATGCTACATTTCTCCAAATCTGTTCTGATGAAGAAACAAACTCATCTACATCTTGGATGGCCTGAGGGTGAGGACATATTCAGCAAATTTTTATTTCTGGGTGAACTATTCCTTTAATAAATAATAAACAATATATTTGTTTTAGAAGTAACATAATAGTAAACATAATAATACACATAACAGCAACTGAAAAGTGCTATTTTGATGGTTAACTGTGGCACTCACTGTATTTGCCGCTGCACAGCCAGCCCGTCACGGCTATAGTGAGATGAAGATGCTTTCCAGAACTCATCGGAAGAAACTCAAACTCCTCTATAGCGCCGACACGCTTGTTCATTTTATAGCCTGTGTAAAATGAGTAAATATACCTTCAGGTATCCTCATACATATAAACTAAGTGAACATAAACAGAGAGAGGAAACGGAAAACTTGATCTGCAAACAGAAATGAAGAGAGGCAGACGCACAGATAAACTGCATTTGAAGAAACACCAAGCATCTCCAATAACCTTGAGCTGAATTCACTGTGAATGGCAGCTGACGATGTGCTCTTAAAAGCAGGTTTATAGAAAATTCTACTCAAACCAGAAAACGGACTGTAACTTTATCATCATTGTCAGTCTGCTAATTGATCTGCACACCTATCAATCCTGTAACAGTCTAGTGATTCAACAAGAATCATGCTTTTCAAATTATATAAATCACTTGCCCTCCAGGAGTATTTTTTTCCCCAATATAATATTTATTATTGTTATAACTTTTTTATTATCAGTAGTGCTGTCAAATCGACTGTGTATCGAGTGTGCTGTGTATTTTTATATGTATATATAAATACACACACATACATGTATAAATGTAAGAAATATTTACATGTGTATATATTTATAATTATGTATGATTTACATTATATATTTGTGGATTATTGTGATGTTTTTATCAGCTGTTTGGACTCTCATTCTGACGGCACCCATTCACTGCAGAGGATCCATTGGTGAGCAACTGATGTAATGCTACATTTCTCCAAATCTGTTCTGATGAAGAAACAAACTCATCTACATCTTGGATGGCCTGAGGGTGAGAACATATTCAGCAAATTTTTATTTCTGGGTGAACTATTCCTTTAATAAATAATAAACAATATATTTGTTTTAGAAGTAACATAATAGTAAACATAATAATACACATAACAGCAACTGAAAAGTGCTATTTTGATGGTTAACTGTGGCACTCACTGTATTTGCCGCTGCACAGCCAGCCCGTCACGGCTATAGTGAGATGAAGATGCTTTCCAGAACTCATCGGAAGAAACTCAAACTCCTCTATAGCGCCGACACGCTTGTTCATTTTATAGCCTGTGTAAAATGAGTAAATATACCTTCAGGTATCCTCATACATATAAACTAAGTGAACATAAACAGAGAGAGGAAACGGAAAACTTGATCTGCAAACAGAAATGAAGAGAGGCAGACGCACAGATAAACTGCATTTGAAGAAACACCAAGCATCTCCAATAACCTTGAGCTGAATTCACTGTGAATGGCAGCTGACGATGTGCTCTTAAAAGCAGGTTTATAGAAAATTCTACTCAAACCAGAAAACGGACTGTAACTTTATCATCATTGTCAGTCTGCTAATTCATCTGCACACCTATCAATCCTGTAACAGTCTAGTGATTCAACAAGAATCATGCTTTTCAAATTATATAAATCACTTGCCCTCCAGGACGAACAGAACCTTACATAGCAACACTGCATTAAAGTTGTGTAAATGCAATAGATAAATAATGCAATAAGCCATGAGAGGCTTATAGTAATTTTACCATGAACGCAAATGATAAAGTACACCAAAGTTCAATAAATAATTCATTTGATAATAACAGACTTATTATTATTAATTTTTTTCCCCAATATAATATTTATTATTGTTATAATTTTTTTATTATCAGTAGTGCTGTCAAATCGACTGTGTATCGAGTGTGCTGTGTATTTTTATATGTATATATAAATACACACACATACATGTATAAATGTAAGAAATATTTACATGTGTATATATTTATAATTATGTATGATTTACATTATATATATACATAAACAAGCTTCAAATAGGTCAGCTAGCTCACCTGTTAACCCGGCCCCTGCGGCTCCAAACAAGGAAGCCATGATGGCGATGCCCGTGGCTGATCCCAGCACAGCGGCTCCTCCCGCTCCTAGCACCGCTCCTGCCCCAGCAGCCACAAGAGGAGCCGCCAGCCCTCCTGTAACACCTGATAAAAACACATGCATTATCATGAACACCAGACAAATGAAACTAAACCTCATTACACCAGTGCTGGACATGCTCTAGTCATATTTCAGCTCAAAATTAACAGAAAGAACTAAGAGATCAAACATTTTAAGTAAGTAATTTAATTATCTAAAATATTAATGTAAATAAAAAATTATAATTGTTTAGCTTAAAGTTTTTTTTAAATTCTGATAGTTTTTTATTAAAATTAAGCATATTTCCCTTCAAATTATCATAATCATATCATAAACACAAAAATTCTTCAAAATTATTTAAATTGTGAATTATTTATATATCATGGTAGTATTTGCTGTATTTGAATTAATTCATTAATTTAACCTATGAATGAATATTGTTTTAATATAAATAAACAAACATCACAAATAAAACATCTGGATGCATTACAGTAATGAAAGTTTTTAAATATAAATATAAATATATATAATTTTAATTTAAATAAATAAATAATAATAAAATCACAATTGAAACATCCTGATGCATTACAGTAATGAAATGTTTAAAATATAAATAATAAATATGTATTTAATTAAAATAATACTAATAATAATATTAATAATAACAGTCACAAATAAAATATTATCTTACAATACACTTTATGGTAGTTCAATTGTTTAAATAAACATGGTAGTTAAATTGCTTAAATATAAATTAAATACATATTTATTATAAATAAATAAATAAATAAAACATCCAAATGCATTACAGTAACGAAAATTTGGTTTTCAATGTCCTAAAAAAGCATGAAAGGCTTAATTTTCTTAAATGAATTTTTACAAACAAACAAATAGGCTTTATTAATGTTCTCATGGACTTTTCACTGACATTCACCTTGGTGAGACCAATGCATTTTAAAACTAACGTCCAGTGGCATTTAGACTCACCAATTACTGTTCCTCCACCCACAGTGGCAAGTCCGATGAGCAGGTACCGGCGCAATTTACGACCTCTCTCTTTCTTCTGCCTTCTTGATGACTCTTCTCTGTTGAGAGAATGCCCATTTGATTCATAACATGCTCACTGGAGCTGCTGAAAACTCAGAGGTCTTGTTCATTGTCAACTGAATTCTATTAGAAACTAAAACTAACATGAAAGCGCTGAACTGAAAGGAAATCGTAGACTGCATATACACAAAACACTCACGGATGTGCACGGTCCACATCACATGCAGAAGAGAACACATTAACAGACAGAAATCAGCAAACAGATTCAGGTTTGTTCCTCATGTCAACATTTTTACAGCACTTTCACTGTTTCACAATGATATTGATTGTGCCCCTGTATTGACTTTTCTTTGTGAATCAGCAGATGGCTCTCCGTGGGCTTGCGAAACCAGTGTGTGTTTTACATGTTGATAACCCCCCCCCCCCAAAAAATCCCATAAAGGAGTTTCACTCACTTGCTCTCCTCTCCTGACTCTCTCAATTTCTCTCCGAGAGTCTCTTCAAAATCCTCCAGCTGCTGTTGGGTCACACGCAGCAGACAGCTGACATGTCGGATCAGAACTCGAGCCCTGGCATCATAACGTCCTGCATCAAAAAATGGTTATTACATGGAAAACAAGATTGGAGGAAGAATAATCAATCTCACAGAAAAATGTCTAGTTCATACTTTACCATAAAAAATCTAAAGAAAAAACAATCTTGCATACAGAAAACAAAGACTTTTAGAAGCATTTCGTCAACTCTATTTTTATAGCTCTTTATACAATAGAGATCGTTTCAAAGAAGCTTAACAGTATTAAATAGGAAAGTAACAGAGTCAATGATGCCAACTTCAAATATGAGGCAAATCCCAATTTTTATTTTTATTATAAATGAATCAAATTAATAAAAATTATTTTATAATAAAAATAATTTTATAAATAATTTTTTTTAAATAAATAAATATATTTCATTAAAATAAATAAAACCCAGACAAATTATGGTCTTGGACATTTGGGGGACAATTTTAAAAAAGACTGAAAAGCTTTTTTTTTTATAAACAGTTTTTAAAAAATATAATTAATAAATACACCTCTTAAAAATAAGCTTTATTTTCTGTATGCATGTTTTCACAGACTTTTCATTGACATTCTGGACAAATTTAGATTAAAACAGTTAAGATGTTTTGTACATTATTAAAAGTAAAATGCAATGTAATTTTTTCTCACATTTACATAAATAATAAATAGTATAAATTAATATAGTAGAATAAATAATATTAGGCATTTGTTGCATCCAGTGGGGACATAATTAAGGATTATAATGACTTATACTGCACGTATACGTATACTATACTATACTGTATATAACGCGTCTTTTTACGAGTTGCGTTGCATCGCGCCCTGTAGACATAAAACCATGTCTGCATTTGTGATCGGAGAAATGACAAACAAGCGCTACTCTACACTGCTCAAAAAACTCGCGTTTGAATCATCAGTGGCAAATTCTTTAAATATGAAAAACGTACTTACAGGCTGTGAGTCAGAACAGCCGGCATTGTAGTCTACTCTCCCAGGATCAGGAAACAGTCCTCCATAAAATGTGCTGCACACATCTGAATATTTGGGTTGAACTGTTCTGGAACAGTGTTGTAAATACAACTTAACCACTGATTTCTAGTCGTGTCCTCTTTTGGAAGACCAAACAAAGTAGTTTCACTTTCACAATGAAACACACAACGTGCTCACAACATATTCTTTTATAAAGAATATCTCTTTGGATCTGAGACTTTAGTCTTTGCAACTTCAGGGATCTTATCTATTTACGAACAGCTTGTAACACTCCAAAGAGAAAGGAAAACGTGAAATTGCATTATATGACCCCTTTAACGCTAATGTCTATTAGTAAACAGCACATTAAAGTGATTTTATTATTATATATTTTTTTTACTTTTGCTCAGGTCCTTGAAAGAGCTGGCCCAAAGACACTCCACATAACCCAGCGTACGCAAAGCGCCCTGGTTCACTCAGCTGTCGACCAAACACTTTCTCTGCTGGTGACTGATCATGCTTCTGTCCTCCTGGGTCTGTAACAATAAAACGACTAAATGCAAAATCAAAAAATTTACAAAGTTCCTGTGAAGAATGTGTGGGTGTTCAATAACAGATACACACAGACTTTGTCACATCAGACCTAGTCCTCCACATCTACATTACATGCTTATTACAGGGGTCCAAGAAGAAAAAGCTTCTGACATTCGTTCAATTTTATGACCTTCTTTTGTTTCTTGAAGAACAGACCTGCCTTTTGGACCCAATGTCTGCTTTTTGTGCTTTTGAAAGTTTAATATTTTTGTGGTGGAAAGGGGTTCCAGATCAAACATAATTTGCATGTTTTCTGATATCGGAGGCCAAACTAAATATTTTATTATAACTTTCTACTTTGCATAAGATATATGCACAAACATGTGACACTTTATGACACTATGCGTAATTCTTTAATAATACAGCATATGCAGTGTTGGGGAAAGTTACTTTTAAAAGTAATGCATTACAATATTGCATTACTCCATAAAAAAAGTAACTAATTACGTTACTTAGTTACTTTTTTATGGAAAGTAATGCGTTACGTTACTTTTGCGTTACTTTTTAAATCCGGACAGGGCTTGCTTGTTCGCTTTTAAAATAAAAAAGTTCTATTTTTGGCAAATATAAAAGCCTTTTCACACCAAAAGCGAAATGAATGCACCTCAGGCTGAAGGGAAAGTACATTTACGTCCGTACAGTAGAACGCAGAAGAAGAAATTTCAACACACTTCAGCAATAAAAAAAGACATTGGTTAATAGAATGGAATTAAATACTTAAAGCATATTTGTGTTGTTTAACATTTAATTATTGCAGGTTTGCGTCATATTCTGAGTTGCATTATTTGTATTCATTTTGAGGAATACTGAATCTGTGTGTTTTTTTTTTTTTGTGAGTGAGATGAATTAACGCATATTCATATTTATTTCAGAACTACAGTAACATCTGGTTTCTCTCAACATGGGCACAGGAGAGCTGTCAATCAATAAATTGATAAAAAAAGTAACTTGCGTTACTTATTTGAAAAAGTAACTCCGATATTCTCTTGTAAATTAAAAAGTAATGCGTTACTTTACTAGTTACTTGAAAAAAGTAATCTGATTACGTAACTCGCGTTACCCCCAACACTGAGCATATGTAGTACTCATTGGTCTCGAGATCATATGAAGTCCCTGAAAATACATTGAAAAGGCATTGCAAAATATGCAATGTGTTATTATCTAACACAAAATGTCTCTTGTTTATCCAAAACATTGTTTAAGGCCTCGACCTTTTCCTGCATCTGCGATAAAACCCCAGAAGTGAGCGAGCAGCTGCTGGACACGTATCAACAACATTAATATAAGTCTCATCATGAGAATGAAATATAATACAACGTAACCAACAATAATTAATGAATTCTCTCAAAATAAGAAAACCAAAGACTCTTATTTTGTTGCTATCTGTTCTCTGCAAAACTAAAATGCTTTCAAAAGTCCTCAAATAAACTTTTGAAAAGTCTATAAACACCTGGAGTTAGCGTCGGCTCCTCGTTGTTGTTAGGTGCTGTTTCCATTGGTTTATCCTCACAATAAGTTACAGATTTGTTCTCTCCGTGGAGGAAAGTTGTTACTTTGTTGTCGTGACAGATGAAAGTTCAGCCCTAAGTTGTTGTTGTATGCAAGCAGCGCCCTCTATCCATCAAATCAGTTCGCGCATAACGGAGGACTGGCTAATGAATATTAATCACGCAATGTCACGCTCGCCCAGTTGGCTTCACCGATTGGCTGAACTGCTTGGTTTGCCGCATGAATATTAATAACGCAACGTAACAGTATCGGAATGTTACTTGGCAACTTCACCACGACTTTTTGAAATTGTTAAAAAACAGAAAGTCATTAACATGTTTAAAATATTATGACATTATTTTCAGTGCCCGTTACTAATTAATATCACACTATGTATAGCACTGACTGTCTTATGCTATGCTCTGTTTGTTATTTGTTCTATTTTCATTAATAAAAAAATTAAAATAAAATAAAAACTTCACCAGGACTTCAAATATTATTTGGTAAAATTAAAATCTGATATTGATTTTAGTTGCTCCTTTTGTGTCAGTTGCCCTGAAACTGTGGTACATTTGTTTTGTAATTGCCCTTTTGTAAAACTATTTTGGCAAAATGTATGTAATTTTATAGTACAAAATATTGATAATCATTTTGTTTTGTTATGGAAAGATGTATTATTTGGCATATTGGAGAACAGCAAAGAAAAGCACAGTCACGTCAATAAATCTGAATTTTTTTACATGCAAAATTTCATATTCACAAATGTAAGTTCTCATGCAAAAAACCTTGTTTTGTTTTGTTTAGGAAGGAAATGGAGCATTATATTGCTACTATACGATTTTCGATGAAACAAAAAGCAATTAAAACGGAGAAAGTTTGTAAACGCTTTAATATTTTTATATAAATTTGTATTTGTATACAGCCCCTCTAGTGTGAGATTGTTTATTTCATGCATAATGTTTATTGTTTATATCATGTATAGTGTTTGTCATATACATGTATTTTGATCTTAATAAAAAAAAAAAAAGTAAATAAAAAAACTTCACCATGACTTGATTTAAAAGTCAAAATAGCAATTTTGCCTCGTGACGATTTTAGATTTATTTGAAACGTTCTACAGAAGGCTAATTATAATTTATGCTATTAAATGTTGACGTTTTGCCCCGAAAAATGACATAAATGTTGCTCTTGTGTTTTAGCATTTCTAGCAGCTGCTTATAAATATTGTGGAATATTAATATTAATTAGGACCGTGACTTGAGGCTCCAAAAAGATGTAGCAAGTAAAGGCAGCATAACTTCATTAATATTCAAAAGCTGAGTCTTCTTAGAAGGATCAATAATTTGAACATATAACATACATAAAGTAAATTTTTTAGGGGTTTTTAAATGATTTTAAGTTTATGTGATGCTGTGAGGAAGATTTATGTTATTGTTTACGTTGTGCCTCATAAATATCATCAGTTGTTCTCTTAGTGTTGTACGGGGAAAAAGAAACTGAATATAAATACATAAACATGCCCTATAGAAATATTGCCTTTTTTTTTTTGGCCAGCAGAAGGCATTAGAGACCCATATAAAACTGCCACTATATAAAACCTATGTTGGATACAGAGTTTAAACAATCTCACAGATACACAGATTTTATTGTATGTATTTGTAAGTTTGATCAATGTGATAAAAATGACAAAAAAATGTTTGTGTGACACACACACACACACACATGCATGTTGTGTTTCCATGTTTTATGGGGACATTCCATAGGCGTAATAGTTTTTCTACTGTACAAACTGTATGTGCTATTGCCCTACACCAACCCTACCCCCAAACCTACCCCTTACAGGAGACTTTCTGCATTTTTACTTTCTCAAAAAAACTCATTCTGTTTGATTTATAAGCTTGTTTCCTCATGGGGACCTAAAAAATGTCCCCACAAGGTCAAAACTTACTAGTATTACTATCCTTGTGGGGACATTTGGTCCCCATAACGTGATAAATACCAGGTACACACACACACACACACACACACACATCACCTACATATATACATATATGTACTAAACAACAAATAAGTAAATAAATACATAAATATAGTAATGGTAAACAATATTTGAACACTTTCTGGCTGATGTTAAACTAAACAAACAAACAAAATAAATAAATAAAATGTTATAATGTAATTATATAACATTTTAACTAAATAACTATATATATATATTGGCCATCTTTTACAAATTAAACATGATTGACTGTAGCAATTTGTCTGCGTTACATAATTCTGCCTAATAACTCTCTTTTTGACACCTCCTGGTATTTTTAGATTCATTCTGATTCTTATCGTGTGTATTATTATCTTGATCGCTCCTGTTGTTATATAAGGTCTGTGAGCTGCTGTATCTTGTTGCTCTTTCCAGTAAAAGCCCATACTTGGGATGATCCAGGAGAATAGTTTGTGAAATGCATGATTACATAATTTTCTAAAACCAAAAAAGCATATCTACTGTTTGAGCAACAATCTCCTTAGAGCAATAATTATATATGAATGTGTCTTTGCAGCTTTACAAGTCTGTACATAGAATCATGGACATGTCTATTCCTATTCTTTTCACAAGAATTAACTGTAAAATATGAAACTGATATTCACAACAAGAGTATATGTGTGCATTTGCACATATCTCCTGTCTTTGTGTGTCACATGTGTATTTTCTCTCCTGTCTTCTTTTCTTTCTGTGCCTGGTACCATCTCTTTACAGAGGTTATGAGGTCACGATTTCAAGAAAGGAGAAAAGAGAGGAAGAACTAGCTGTCGATGTTACTTAATACAAACCCTGCTCCTTCCTTCATGTAAATAAATGTCAGTGAAGAATCTTACGTTTGTGTTTGAGGTCAAAACATCCTGTTCATACACCGGTGTGCATTACAGATGTCTTTATTTGTGCTTCTTTCTCCATCTCCACTTGAGAGGCTCACATGCAACCTGCAAGAGAGATACAGAGCACATGCGGAAACATCATAAGCCTTAACAGACCATAAGCAAATGCATTTTTTTCCATTTTCACTTAATGTAAAACCATCTGTGGTGCAACACGCCCAGAATTCATAACCCATACACTCTTAAAAATAAAGGTGCTTCAAAAGGTTCTTCAAGCGATGCCATAGAAGAACCATTTTTGGTTCCACAAAGAACCATTCAGTCAAAGGTTCTTTAAAGAACCATCTCTTTCTTGCATTTTTATAATCTGAAGAACCTTCTTTCACCACGAAGAAGCTTTTGTGAAACAGAAAGGTTCTTCAGATGTTAAAGGTTCTTTATGGAACCATTTAGACAAAAAGGTTCTTCTATGGCATCGTGAAGCACCTTTATTTTTAGAAACCAAAAAATCCAGAGATTCACAAAGCTCTCCAAATTAAAAACATTTGCAGAAAACAGAGATGATAGATTGAATAAATTACAATAACAACAATAATATCTATTAAATATATATTATATTACTATTTACTACTAATAAAAATATCTAATATATTCTATTTATAATCAATCTTTTATAATTTTTTATCTATTGTTTTATGATGTACAACTACAAAAAATGAATAAACATGTAAATAAATAAAAACAACTGTTTTGTATACATTCTGTATAAATCTACTGTATAAATATATACAAGTTGTATTATGCAAAATAAATAAATACATTAAATATGAATAGTAAATCATATTTGAACACTCAGGTTTTATGTCAAATCTTATGGGGGGAAAAAACTGTAAATATATATATAGCAGTATTTTTTATGGTGTTGAACAGAGCAATAAATAAGTAAATAAATAAAAAAATATATAGTTAATATTTACTTTATAGCAAACTTAACAATAAATACATCTGTAAAAAAATATACATATGTAGCTAAAGTAATTAAATAATACAATTGTAATAGTAAATATTACCGGTATTCAAACACTTTCTGGTTTCATGGCAAATCTTATGGAAAAACTATAAATACATAAAGCTGTATTGTTTTATGATATTAAAGTGAACAAACAAACAACAAATAAATAGTATTTGAACACTGTAGTTTCAATTCAAATCGTATGGAAAGACTGTATAAATATATAAAGCTGTTTGTTTTATGATGTTAAACTGAACAATATCTAACTAACTAAATAATTAACTAGTAATAGCAAATAGTACTGGAACACGTTTCTAGTCAAATCTTATGCAAAATGTCCATTTATTTTTATGAATCTTATCTTTTTGGCTCACTTTGGCATTGTTAGTTTATCTTAGCTTGTTTAGTTGAGCTTATCGTAGTTAAGTGAGATGCTTTTCTTTTCTCAGATTTTCAAATGTAACTGTTTAGACAGACAGACTGTGGTTTGGGGTCAGTGACGGACAGTGTTACGGCTCCTCGCCTACTCCATCTCATTCCCATCAGCCTGACAAGATGCCAACGACAGGCTCGGTCGCACTCGCATTCAACCAAGAGAACAGAAAAGCAAATGCGAACAGAAGAAAGGTGCTAAAGCTGTTTGTTCAAAGCTAAAAGTGCATTGGGTTTACCGTCATCTCTCTGTCATCAAGAGCTCCTCACATCTGTTGAGAGATAACAGAGCAGAGGTTTTCCACCTCCCGACCTAAGACACACACCCACACACACTTATAAAGAGCTGTCCTAGCAACCATTGTTCTACAATAGGTGTGTGCGTTTTCTGCACATCCGCAGCCAAATCTGTCGAGACAGGCCCTCGCAGCAAAGGGGGATTCTTGGGGAATTTGGCACCCAATCAAAGGCATTATAAACTAAATACAACCTCTTGACATCCGCTTAGTCAGATAAAGTAAACACACTATAAAGATCATCTGTGGCACACAAACATGCTCTCAAAATAACTACCGGCCTTGTACCAAACACCAAAGCAACATATCAAGCCATAAGGCCTGTTTGGCTTCCTTGCGCATTTGTAGAAAGCCGATACGGAGCGAGTTTTTTGTGTGATTGTGTATACGTGTGTTTCTATGGAAAAAGGCAGCTGGACAGTCTTTTGGGAACGATGGGGGTGGGGAGTGGAAGAATAGGTCATGATACGTCTAAGGAGAAATATA